AATACACAAACTTCTCTCTCTATTTAAGATTCTGCTTGCATAGGATCTTTCTCAGTAAAAAATCTAGATATTTTTCTAGATTTAGGTTATGAATATTCTTATATTTTAGTATCATCAGCCTTTGTAGATTATGTAGTTACACTCTTATTTATTATTTGATGTAATTTGTTACCAATCTAACAATATCTAAGAACAGCTCTAGATTCTTTCTTAATTTAAGGTTTTTTATTTTTTTCACCACTAAGTAATTGCATAACCATTTCTAATCTCTATTATTTTTATTCTTATTATTGATCACTTTTCTTCTTTTTGTATTTATTTAACATTTTTTTAAAGATGTGTGCATATTATTACAACTTTGCAATATCTTCAGATTTTTCAATTTATTCCCTTCTATCTATTATATGATCAATTAATTTAATCCTTTGTTTGTAGGTGTTCAACCCTTCAACTGCATGCTTAATTTGATTTCGAGAGAAAACATCTGAAATTTTATTATAGGATTTCGAGATTTGACATTTCATACTGAATCTGTTATAAATATTTTAATATAACTTTGACAGAATTCTTTGAAATTTAATAAGAAAATAATAAATATTATTTATAAGTAAAATCACACTTAAAGTTATTATAAATCATCTATTTCTCTACTATTTCTACTATCTATAGGATGAATTTTTGTACTACCTGTTGTTATATGTTGAATTTAATGATATTTTTTTATTTAATTACTAAGATTGATATTATTTAATTTTACCTTGTTTTTGGTTAAGGAGTAGGTTATACTGTTTCCTATTGAATTTTAATCCATTTTTCTTTAGCTGCATCTAATGTAACAGGATTACGTCGATCATAATCATCATAAAAAGTTAAGAATTTTTCATCATATGATTCAATAGTTGCATTATCAATTCCTAAATCTACTATACAACCACATATTTTTTAAATTGGAATTAAATAATGTAATGTTGAAAATCCCAATTATAACCATGTTAGGATATGAATTTTATCATAATTTATCCATTCCCAAAAAGTACATCCTAACTAAATAATTAATTTAAAGTTTTACAGAAAACAATAATAGAATTAATTCTATATAAAAATCGATCATAGCCTCAGCCATTGCACTACCTGTTGGAGCAGGTTTGGAATCTCTTCTTATTAATAAATACTTTTCTGTCCAATATATACAAACTATTGAGAGAAAAGTAAAACAAACTCCAACTGGCAATAATGCTGAATATAGAAATGTAAACAATAGGGTTTTACATAATTTAGCATATTTTTAGGATAAATCAATTGTTGGTCCTTCAAATGCTCTATAAATAAATAAATAAATAAGATAATTACTAATTAGCTTCATTTTAAGTATATTTGCAATTTTCTCCTTATTTAATAATTTTCTGTCTAACATATAACTTATAAAAATAATTGACATCTAACAATAGAGTCAACCAGGGTGTAATAGAATTAGTAATGAAAATCAACATCACATCTGAATTAAGTCCACCTGTCTACCAAATAGCTTAATCTAAACTTATCATTTCTTCTTATATAAATAGATTAATAATTAAGGTTAAGATAGCAGTATTTAGAAATTGAGCTACTCCCATTTTATAAGCTACACTTACATTATAATCTGTTCTAGTAGCTTATTATTCTAATTCAGCAAATTTAACAATCATTTTAGCCAAAACAACATTGATAATCGAGATTAGGATTGATGATGCAAATCCAAGTAGAGTAATAATAACTGTTTCTGCTGTTGATCCTTTTGAGATATTCTTATTAATAACATTTTATGCATAAGATAATCCAAGTAATAAACCAAATCCAATTGCTAATAAAAAAAGAGTCATGGCATTTGTTATTAAGGTTCTTTTATATTATTCTTTAATTGTTATTCCAAGATTACCCCAAATGATATCACCAGGTTCAGGTGCTTTTCTTACTAAAAGGTTATTGTTTCTAAATTTTTTAAATTCATTTTATTCAATTCCTAATTAATCTAATAAAATTTTAAATCTTGTAGCTTTGAATGTTTTACAAACATTATCTGCTTATTTTTCATAATTATAAGTTATAATACAAATTCCACTGAAATCAAAAATAGTAGCTCTATGATCTTCCATATAATCTAATTCTTTTGAAATTTTATCTATTTCTTCTTTTAATTGAACTCTAGATGGTATTGATTTAGGTATTTATTTTCCTTCTGCTTCTAATTCAAGTACTTTTGTAAGTACCGTTTCTTTTAGTTATTTTTAAGTATTAAGTTTTAAATAAGGTTATATTTCATAAGCAATGCAAAGTTTTCTAAATTCGACAGTTTCATTTTGAAATGGTTATGAAAAGTATTCTTAAATTTCAGGTTCTTTTGCATCTCTAGGAATATTTTCAACAATTATTGAAAAATCAGAAGCTAAAATGGCTGCATCATCTAATTCCATAGCTATTTTACTAATATGTCTTCTGTAAAACAAAGTCAAAAATAATATAACTATTAGAGATATAAAATTTAGAATGCTACGAACTTCATCTAAATCTCTAAAAGATATATAATAATATTAATACTCATTATCATTCGTCAATGAAAATTAGTTGAAAAAATCTGTTTTACATTTATCAGCAATACTACTCTTTATTAAACTGCATCTCTTCCCTTAAGAATTAGCATATATATTGTATCCACAACTAATGGCTCTAATATATATACATAAATTATTATACATATAAGCAAATACAATAACTCCAGAAAAAACTAAGAAATCAAAATACAATGCTATTCCTGATCCATTAAAACTGAATTCATTTCTTGATGAACATAATGGAATTTCTTCAATTACTGCTGGTAATCCGCAACATGGACAAACATTCGTTTTATCAAGGTCAATATTTGGATCGGTCTTGGCAAATTTTGTTGCTGCAGCATGCATCATAGCAATCTTAATCTTAGGAGGTCTCTAAAAATCATCATATATTGCTTCCATTTATTATTCCTCATTTTACTAAACACCAATGACTTAAAGAACTTAATTCAACATATAAAAAATATCAATTTCTTATTGTTAATTATTTGCGTCTTTAAATTATAAATTTAGATACAATAAATTAATATGATTAAATCTGAAATATAAAAACATTAATTTGGATCTTATCATATTCATAGGAGATTGCTTAAAAAATATGAAGATTTTATTTTTTTATCGCTTTTAACACAATCTTAGAGTTAAGAAATTAATATCAAATGAAAATACTATATTTCTTAAAGAATTTCATGATAAATTTAGGTACATTATTGAGCTCAATCTTATAATTTTTAATTATAAAAATTTCATACTAATAAAATTCATAATAGACAAAGTTTACCATTTTATTATTAATTAAGTAGGTATGTTCAAATAATATTAAATGAATAAAGAATTATAATTGATTAGCAGAGATTTATTTAGGAGTATAATAAACCTTTTTATAAAGAAAACATTTTTGGGTATATCTGAAAAGTTTACATTCCATTTTGATAGAAATTACATCATCCCTTAGAATTTCAAAATATTCTTATACAATATATAAATCAAACTTTCTTTATAATTTTAATTTTGTTTACTTAGGTTTCTTTTCATTTATTTTCTAATGTCTTCCTACTCTTCATGTAATAAAAAGGAATCAATTCTACTATCTCTGTTTATTTATTCATAACAGATAGATGATTTTCTATAAATAAGGTTATGATACTTTATATAAATATATTTAATATATAATATATTATATTTCTAAAAATAGATACAAAGTTGAGAAATTTAAAAGCGATTATACATGTTTGTAAACAACAATATGTTGAATAAATCTAATAAATGAGATGGACAAAAATTCATAGAAATTAAAGAAAAGTAAATAATTTGGTATAGCTATTGTATTATTAAAATGATCACCTTAATAAATATCATATGCTTTCAAAAATGAAGTCAATTTTTGTGCTCCTATTTCTTATTTAACTTCAAAGATAAGTTTTTGTAAATATATCTTGTAATGTATTCTCATATAAAAAATGAAGTTTAAACCAGTTATTAATTAGATTAATATTAAATGCATAAATAATAATAATTTAAAAGGAACAGATATATATTTTTTAATGGGCATTTGCCAAATATTCTAACATATCATTTTAAGATGAGGTTCATATTTATTATTTTTGCATTTCTATTATTTTTACACTTATCGTTACATTAGGGTCATTAATTTTATTTATTATCTTTAAAATATATATCAACTTCAACAATCATATTTTAGTAAATTTTAATTATGATTCTTGAATGTTATCCATTTTTTCATAAAATATATAATTTTTGTCTTTTTATGTGTTCTTATATTTATATATAATTATAAACAATAAATTTTATAAATAATATTGAGATTTTGGATTCAAATAAACTTAAATGATACCTACTTTAAGAGGAATTTAAAAATTATAAATATCTTAGACATATCTTATTATATCAATCTAATCAAATATTTTATTTTTTAATTATTCTAAATTTTATCTATAATACTTTAAAAATCCTAAATATAATATGTTTATCAATTTTAAATGAAATTCTGATTAACGTCCTTCACTCTAATAATTTTGAGGTAACTAATTCACATTTACTTGTATAGTTATGATTAATTAACAATTTATGATAATCTTCAATAAATCAGAATATTTAAGAGCAATTATAAAATCTTAACACACATTATATAGCTTTTGAATTTAATTTAATGAATACACACTATCAATATACTCTTAAATTAATCTTAATCATTTATTTCTAATTCATGAAAATATTTAATATTATTATCCTTTAGAGGTTTTCTTATAGAAATATCAATCAAGATTATTTTATTTTATGAAAATGTTTATAATCTTTGATCTGAATGATTTATATTGTATTATGGTTATTAAATTTACAAAATTGGTTCATGTTGTTAAACATAAAAGTGGAAATAATTAAAAATAAAAAATGTCTAAAAAATCTACATATGTATCAATTGGAAGAGAGATAGAATAAGGAAGGATGACAAAGTCTTCTGGGTTTAGTGATATACTAAATGAAAAGGAACTTCGAAACAGAGCAACAAGTCTGTTACAAAAACCTTAATTAAAGAAGTTTTACAAGAACAAAAAAGATGGAGCAATAATAAAACCAAATAAGATAGCAGAATAATTAAGAAACACTTTTATAGATAAATTAAACTTGAGTAATTTGGAATGTGCTGCTCCTCCTAAATCTGCTGTATCACATTAATCTTCAACGACTACGTAACCACTTTGTTTTGAAATTGATTTTGATTGGTTGGATTATTGTGATGAATAGAAGTTCAAACAAATATTTAAGGAAGACTTAAAAGACATTCCAGATATTGAATAATATGTAGAAGACAATTAATCATATTTATGCCATATATTTGCTTAATGTGCATGTGCCAAATGTACTTGTAATAAATGCATATGTCAATACAAAAAGAAATTAGAATTAAATTATGCATATGGAATGCTAACATCTAATAGGTTTGATTATGTACCAAAATAAAATAAATGTTTTACTCCAATTATAACACAATCTCATTATGATAATATTGCTTTACCAGTTGCATCTATGTAATTCAACTCTACTTAAAGAGATAATTATAAATGGATACCATAAGATAGACCAAGAACTGCAGCCAAATCTATGTATGAATCTCATAATTTACCAACTGGATAAACTACTAACAATGTACGAATTATTATTCAATAGTCTTGCTCACATTTATCAATTGGAAGGACTATACTCCCAATATATTTAAGGCTCCACAATTTCGAACTACTGTTAAAGCCAATTTAATGAATAGAACTAATTATAGAAATTAATTTATATGGAAAATCAAAGATGAAAATTAACCAACAGCTGAAGATGTTAAATAAAAATAATTTCAGTAAAAAAATATAATATAAAATAGTTAAACTATAACAAAAATATATCCAAATCAATTACGATCTATCTATTAAGAATCATTTGTTTAAAAAAATTAAAAACCTTTAAGAGTATTCATGAAACCAGAAGAATTAATTCCATGTAGTGCATATCAAGGTTAGTATATAACTACTAAATAAATGGATTATGAAGGAAAATAAATATCAACAAAAGAGATCTAATAAAAACCATGGAAAGGAAGATTGATAAAAAAATTATAAAATATTTAATGATTTATTTCATTATTAGAAAACTCTCTTAATTTAGAGATCTTTCTATATTTTAGAAATTAATAATAAAATTAAATTAAACATCTTTATATATAATTCACAAATCTTTTTTCTTAGCAAAACTTCCATTTTCTTCAATAAATTCTTTAATTTTCTCTGCAGTTCTTTAACCACTAAATTAAATTTATTTAACTTTAGTGTCTCCCTTCTCAAAAAGAATCAAAGTAGGGAATCCTTCAATTTAAACAATTGGTATTTTATGAATTGTAGCATCCAATTCAGCAATTAACACATTTTTACTATCTTTATATTCTTCTGCTAATTTTACATATTCTGCTGACATAGCTTTACAATGTCCACACCAAGGAGCATAAAATTTAACAAAAACATCTTATTTACTTTACAATACTATTGATTCAAAATTTTGAGCTGTTAATTAAATCACTTATCCATCATTAGGTATATCAACTCTATTAGATTCATTTACTATTAAAGATTCTTCAGTTAATTAAATTTATGGTTCATTATTATTTTCTAATTATCTCAATAAGAAATCTTTCATTCCTTCAACACTTCTTATTCCATCAAAATTTATTTTCTTCTTTTAACCTTCTTCTTACTTGAAAAATATTAATGTTGGATATCCTTATATTTCAATACCTTCAATTCTATCAACTGTAAAATCAACTTCAGCAATTGTAATATCTTTTCTACCTAATTCTTAAGCTAATTCTTCATAAATAGGTGCTAAATTTTTGCAATGACCACACCATGGTGCATAAAATTTAACAAATACATGATTAGGATTATCATAAACCTATTCTTTAAAATTAGATGTTGTTAAAACATGAACTTCACCATCTCCTTTATAATATTTGTCAGATTCAGAATTTTCAGATTCTTTACCATTAATTGATTAATCATATAAAGATTCAACTAATTATTGATGTGTTTCAAATGATTCATCTGTAAATTCAACAGTAATTGTTTTTTTAGTTCTATTATAATTAGTAATTAAATTACTCAAAATTGTAAAAATAAATAACATTTTTAGCAATTATTTTCTTTTTAATTAAATATTAGAATCTTTTATTTGGTAAAATTTAATTTGGATCAATTAGAATAAATCTAATTTTATTTTAATACTATTCTGCTAAAGTCTTATATGTTTAATATAATTAGCTATCTTTTACACCAACTAAACCAACTAAAGGAATCTTATCTTTTTCTGCTTTTAGAAATTCTTCCTCTGTAAATGAGAACACTTTAGGAAATCCATTAACAGAAATCCATTCTAATAATCCATCTATTTCACCATCATAATTAAGTGGTGTTAGTAATTCCTTATAATATAATGTATATTTTGATGTATGAGCTTATTAAAGTTCTGGATTAGCAACAATACCAAACTTAATTCCAGAATTCTTATCAACTATTGTTTATAAATCATCATCATTATTCACATATTTGAGTACTGCAAAATTGGATCTTTTTAAGAATAGATCAATCTAAAAATTGATTAAATAATATATTTATATACTTCTTCTTAAGTATTTAATGTAGTAATATGATCATAAGCATTTTATAAAGCAAACTCAAACAATAATTCAACTGAGTCTGATTAATTAGGAAAGTCTTATGCAACACCATTTCTAAAAAGTTTGAGTGTTGGATATGATTTAACATTATTTTTTGCAGTAAAAGTTTTTTATTCTTCAGCATTAACTTCTCCCAAAACAAATCCATAATCTTTTAACATTTCTGCTAATTAAATGAAAACAGGTTTCATTTTTTTGCTTTATAGATTAAATATACATAAATACCAATATCCACATGAATTAATATAAAACTTTACTAATAATCTTGGATTTTCGTTAACAGCTTATTAGAAATTTTTTTTAGTGAGTTGTAAAACTCCATCGACTTCTTCAATTTATTCTCTTGATAATACAATAAGGAAAAGAGCTATTAACAAGAAATATTTCATTGATAAATATATTTGAATTGTAATGCGTGTATTGTAAAAAAAGTATAGAAAGAAGAATATTCTAGATAAATTATTGTTTATCAAGTTATTTTTAATCATAATAAATTAATCTAATATAATCCTTAATAATTATTGAATGGCAATTTCTTAGGTTCAAATACTACATTTTCAATATCTTTAGTAATCTCTTTATATTGTTCTATTTATTTTTCAATCTTAAGAGTCACATCAAATTTAGGATATGTAAATTTAAGATGTCTATTATTTTATGAAATCAAAAATTTAGCTATCTATTCATATCCCCTTATTTATGCTAATTATATTATTTATTATTACCTAAATCTATTGCATTATAACCATATTTTCCTTTTTTATCAATTTATGCACCTCTTTCAGTAAGTGTTTTAATTGCTTCAATTTGCCAATTAATAACTGCTTAAATAAGAGGAGTACGACCTTGATTATCAATTTCATCAATTTATGCTCCTCTTAATAATAAATAATCTATTATGGCTGTACGATTTAATGAAGCAGCTAAAGAAAGAGGAGTAAATTCATATTTTGTTGATTATATAGAATTAGGATTTTAATCAATAGCTAATTTAGCTTCATTGATATCATTATCACAAATAGCTTTAATTAATCTATAATCTATAGTATGATGATGTGTTGAATCTGGATTAGTATGCCATGCAGCATTTATAATCCTATTAAATGGACTTGAAAAAGGATTAAATGTTTCTGTTCCATCATATTATGTTCCAATATACTCTTGTAATTCCCAATTAAAAAAATGTTTGACTTTGGAAGGTAAATAAGAAAACATTCTTATAATTACAAAATTATGTAAATTAAATATATTATTCAAAAAGCTTATTTAAGTGATCCACGAATGCTATTTGCATTATCCACATTATATTTCTATTAATCTTCTTAATCTAAAAATGTTACTATATAAAAGAATACTTTTTTTTAATTTAGGTTAGATCTAATACATTTTTATTTGGTTACTACGAGGAATATCATCATCCTCATTAACATTATAATCATTTTCTTCTAAAATGCATTCTTATTTCTAAACCTTGACTGATTAACTCTATTATCTAAATGTATTTCCATTTTATTCTTCTCGATTAATATCAGCTGTATTTGATTTACTCCTCATTTATGGAGTCACACTAAGAGGAGTTGATGTTAATGATTAATTGAGTTCTTAACCCATTAATGGTGTTCTGGCATATAAATCTGAATTTCTTTTGTGTCTTGGTAAATTTTCTTCACTTGTTATTACTATAAGATAATATATAATTACAGATGTAATTGATAATCAGCCTACTTCTAAAACCATTAATGTTGTAAAGCCAATTCTGTACTTATTCTTAGATCAGCATTCTTTTCAAGTAATGCTTTTAATAAATGAATTGCTTCTTCACTAAGAGGATGATTGTTAATTAAATTATATTCGATTTAACAATGGTAGTTCTTCATAACAATCTCATCATAAGATTTAGCTTTAAATGGTGATGCACCAGTTAGCATTATAAACATTAATACTCCTGCACTAAATATGTCTACTTTGAAATCATATATTTTATCTTGTAATAATTCAGGTGCAACATATCCTGGAGTACCACAACGCTTAAACATATAATCCCCAGATGGATTATAATAATCTGCTAAACCAAAATCTGCTATTACAACATCAGTCATATCTCCTTTTGTACGTAATATGAGGTTTTCAGGCTATTATGACTCAAATAATGTACTTTTATGTCTCTATGTAAAACACCCATTTAATGTATGTAATCAATAGATTACAAGATTCTATACATGATATTGGCTACCGTCTTCTCATCATAAGCCTTACCCTTCATCTAATTAAAGAGTTCTCCTCCTTCTAATAATTCACAAACCAAAAAAATGTAATTGTCATTTTCATATACTTCATACAATTTGATCACTCCTCGAAAATCCATCTTTCTCATTATGGATAACTCCTTTATTAATGCAGGCTTATAATATGTAAATCTTCATTTCTACCTTATCAACTCGAATGTCTTGAAATTTCAGTTTGTCAAATGCCTTAACAGCGTACAATGATTGATCACTCTTTTTTTATGCACTATAAACCTTATTACATATCATATTACATATTACCTTTGCAAAATTACCCTTCCCTATCAATTTGTTTATAGAGTATACATTATTAAAGCCTCTTTAAATGCAAAACGATTTCATATAATCATACCATACTATTTATGCTTATTCATTATGGGCAAACAACTCAATTGTTTTTCTATTCCTAGTCAATTTGAAACCATAATTCTTAAGTTTATCCAATGTCACATTTTAAAGATCAATATATTTCTTATTATTTGCAAACTTTCCATCTTATATAAAGTAATTGATCTCTTTTTAAACCCCTTTCTTTGAATTTTTGATCAAAGTCCCACTAATAATTGGATCTGATATTTAAATGACATCCTTAATCCATAATTAAGATTTAGGATCATCAAAAAATGAGATTTTTGGTAAATTCATCTATTATGTGTTTTAATTACTAGACAAAGAGAATAAACAACATATATTTGGAGTATAATAAATTATATCTATATATATATATATTAGGTTTTCATTAAATATTACAGTTCCAACATTCCTTATTCTTTTACTTTTATTAAATCTTTTATAAATAGATGTTCTCATCATCAAACTTTATCAACTAAAACGGTTTCAGTAACAATGTTAATTTAGTCTTATATTTATGACATTTTCTATTTTAAATACTATACTATAATAATACTTGTATAATTTTTCATATTGATCTCTTAAATATTTCTATCTAGTTCTTAAATAACCATTAACATTATCTAAACAAGTTATTTTCATTTATAGATTAATATATTTATCTTTCCCATTAATTTTTAATGGAAACTATTTTATATCTTCATTCAAATGTGTGAATGGATCCAAATTACGTTAAGCTATACATATTTAATCATTATCATATTCTTAAAATAAATTAATTTGTAATGTTCCAATATCTATAGTCAAATCTATTATTATTTCTTATTCAAAATTTAATCTCTATGCAACCGTCTCTACATTTCCCTTTATTTTCCTTAACAATGTTTGATATGATAATTCTAATGTATAGATATAATTTTTATCATCCTTCTAAAAATCTAATATATTAAATTCATCAATTTTCATTATTTAAAATGTAATTTGCAATGATTTATTTGCATCCATTTCTTCATAACTTATAGTATCCTATACAATTTTTGATATTCTCTTATCAATCAATTATAATTATTTCACTTTCTCTAAATGTTATTTGTATTTTACAAATACATTATGAATCTAAATTTAAAACTTTTATTCTTACTTCAACTGCATAACTATGAAGAAAACTATCTAGAGAGGATTTACAATTTACTTAATCTGTCTAATCCCATATCTTTTTCTATTAACTTTAATTATTTAGTAAATACCACTTAATCAATGTGATCACTATATTTTTTTATTGAAAACCATATTTCTAAATCAGAATATCCAATCAAGATCTTCTCTTTTACTATATCACATAATTAAGGAATTTATTGCCCTTTGTTTTTACAAGTATCAATAAAATATTAGTATTTTAGCATGAATTATATGTTATCAATCATATTTTAAATTATCAATATAGGTTTCGTAAATATCCTCGTCATTTGGTACAGTAGGCTTAATTTGTATATCATATGGACTTTGAAGAGTAGGAAGAAATCTATCGACATCGTAAAATTGCATAATTGATGGTTTCTCTTAAAATATTTCAACCCATTTATTTGACAATTATGCTTTCATTTTTTATTGTTTAATCTCTTTTTACTACACAAAATGAGGTAAATTTTAATATCTATTAGTCTATTTCTTTGTTTATTGTTTTGAATTATCTTCCTTCTTTAATCGATTTCCAACCTCTTTCAATTAAAATTCTTCACTAAATCCATATTGTTATTCCATCATTTTAACCTCTTCCTACAATTGTTTTAATCTCTCATCTATTATAAGAACATCATTCATTATTTTGAATATAATAATATTAATCTGTTAGATTAATTGTTTCTTTTATACTTATATAATCAATTAAACATGTATATTATAACAAATGATCCTTAAAAAAAGAATATTATAAAGGTTTCAAGTAAATATATTCAAATAAGAGTAAAAATTGTTTCTAATAATAATTAAATTTAATATCTAATACAGATGAATAATGAATCTATCTCTTGGCATGAATCTTAAGCATTCCCTGATATCATTTATAATTACTTTAAGATTCCTGCTGATTTATAACAAGCTGAATTGCATGGAGTATGATACAAAAATATTCAATCTTTAGTTAGCATATAGAGTTTATAAAGAACCTTATAAGAATTCTACATAATGCAATTGCTGTAACTATTATAAAGATCATATTAAATTCAAATTGTGTGATGAGTTAAATAATGACTGTTTTGTAGCATCTGAATATTTTTAAACAATTAAATGGATGCTTATATAACTAACTATTCTTTGGTAAACAAGATATTTATTATTATAAAGCATTTTTTTTGTTCCTTTTGGATTATTTTATAATAGATAAGGGAATGAATGTGAATAACATCCAAATTGTAATTAAAATTCACTTAAAATATACTCAATATGGAATTTAGTTCCTAATTATTTTAGTCTTGCAGATATAAGATATGCAATTGTTATTCTTTTGACATCATTTATTTTTATAATCTTAATTAAATGTGGATCTTTTAATACATAAATGATCAAAGTTGCAATATCATTAAAAACATTCTGGTTATTGCTTAATGGAGTTTACTTTCCTGAAAGAATTACAAATTAAGAAATTCTTGATTTTTTAAATAGAAATTCTGAAATATGTAACTAAATTTATCTTGTAAATTAAAAATTGTATTAAAATATTTTATTTGAGAAATTAAAATCCCCTTATCTAAGAGAAAAATAATAACAGTAAATATATTTATTTAGTAATAAAGAAAGAAAATGGTATTAAGAGAAGTATTTGATGACAATGAAGATATTAGGTAGATCATAAAATAATCATTTCTATTTTTTTCAGATAATGATATAATCAAAGAAGATGAAATAAAAAAAGATTTTATTTAACTTTGTAAGGAGTAAGACTAAAAATGTTATTATGGATTTTAAATAAGAAGTCCATATTTTCAATTTTGTATCTAGGTTATTATTGCTGGTATTTACAGTTAACCTTTGATTATAGCATAATTTATTATATTGAAAATAAGATATGATATAATTAATATTTATAATAATGAAGAAGAAGATTATATAATTAAACAATTTTTAAATGTATGCTTAACTTTACTTTCAATGATTACTTTTATGATATTTGATCAAATAGGATAAAAAATATTAAATAGATTATAATTAGTAATTTATCATTTTGTAAGTATAAATGTATATATATATATATTTAGTATATGATATTTTATATGTTTTATTTATAGAGTTTGGATTTTGAAACTTGGAATATGTTTTAAAATAATTTCACTTAATCTAGTTATAAAATGTTATAAAATGAAGGTATGATTGATTATCTGATAACATTGAGTTATTTGAATCTAATTGTTCCATCAATAAATTAAATATTTGATTATAATTATTTTTGGAAAAAAATTAAATTGTAAAGATTAAAAACAAAAAAAACAAATAATAAAACCTAAAGAGAAGCAAATTAATTATTTTAATTAAGAGAATTTAATTTTTATTAAAAATAAATTGCTTTGAGTAAAATTTTTGCTATAAGCTTAATGTTTGGATTCCAATATCCATTAATAATTCCATTATCAATGCTTTCATTATTAATTGTATTTTGGATTGATAAATATTTATTTATAAACTATGCTATACCTGTTGTGAAAGATAAATATGAAGAATTGTTACAAGGTGGTTATTTCTTGTTCAATATTTGTATGTTATTTATATTTTTTGGATAATGTTTTATGTTTTTTAAATATTGGATTACTATTATTCTATATCTCATATTTATTATTTTACTATTAATTTTAATTATAGTAGCTTATAAGGAAAGAGATTAATGGATTAATACTAAGGAGATATTAAATGAACTTATTGAAAAATAATATCAAATTAGTAATGATGAAAAATATTAAATGTTTTTAAGTTTATAAAAAAGACTGAAGAAATTTGTTTAAGTAATTATAAAATAATAAAATATAGAAATAAAAGAAAATTAATGTTGTTAATGAGAGTAATCTATTAGATTGATAAAATAACATAGTTAGTCAACAAAAATTTAGTTATCTCATTATAAAATGATATACATATAAAAAGAATTAATTATATAATGAATTCTTTTTCTGAGTCTAACATTAAAGTAGAATAGAATAATTCTTTTTTTTTTTATCTGAAATATTATTTAAATTAAAATAAAGAAATTAGAATGCAATCTCTACGTATTACAAATTACTAAGCTACAAGTTTAAATGTAAAACCAAATGATATTCCAAAAGATGTTTGGAATAATTTTATATGTGATTATCCTAAATGTGGACCAGAAATTTAATTACCTATGGATAATACAAAGAGATATATAAAGACTGCAGCAGTACTAATAGCAGCTATAATGGATAGTTTGATAAGTTGGTAAGAAATTGATGTATTGTATGAAATAAGAGAATAAATGCATTCAGATAATGAATAAACTAAAAAAGTTGTTGCAGATTATAATAAATTTATTAGTCAAATTACTCCATGTTTTGAAAAAGATTAAGGTAGTACTCATTTGAAATAATAAAGAGAATATATATATTCACATTTAAATAATTAAGAAGGAATAGAACTACTTTTTAATGTTTATAGATGTATTTTATTGAGTTTGTATACATAAAAAACAAATTCTTGTTTAGTTAGAAATGGAAGAAAATTATCAAAATAAGAAGCAATTTTTGAATTATTAGGCAATTTGAATGAAGATAATTAATTCATATTGAAAGATCATCATTATATAGCTATATCTACAATATTGGGATTACCTATTCATTGTTATATTAATTATAGTGATGGATAATAAATGATAAGAAAGAGAATACATTAATTAGCAAATATAAGATTTACAGTTGCTTTACTATTTGAACCAGGACATAATAATAAATCATCAAGATCTGTTAGAATATTATATTAATAACATGATTCAATATACTTAAATAATTTATTAACAATTGAATAAAATATAAAGAAAAAAAAAAATATAATGTTAGCCATCAATAAAGTTTAAAAAGTATTAGAATCAGCAGTGATTACAACTGTGTAACATTGCTCAAAAATAGTAGAATAAAAAATAATAAATGAATTATGGCCAGATGAATTATATTAAGATTTATAGATTCTAGTTTAATAATTAAATTTTAAGACTATAAAATTAGATGAAATATTGTCAACATTAGATTATAATCTTTAAATGTAATTAGATTCATTTAAAATCATTGTTGATAATAATAAAATTATTCATAAACCAAATTCTGAAATATCTCCAAATAGATAAAAGATATTTTAAAGTACTTATTTTAGAAATTAATAAGCCATAATCAACTATTAAAATTAGAAAATACAAAAGACTAATGTTGTTTAAATTTAATAACCATCATAGATTCCATTATTTGAATCCCCTATTAAATAATCATAAATTATTCAACCTCCAAAAACTTATTTATAAACTACTGAAGATAAACAAAGATCTGTATCCCCATCTTCATTAAAATAAAATATTTCAAGAAGTTTGGAATTCCATGATAAAGCATTCAAATTAAATAAATCCTAAACAAATTCTATATTAAATACTTAATTGATTTAGTAATAATAATAATAATAATAATGATATTTTTATTATCATCATAAATCAAATTGATATTCAAAGATATTCTAATATAATTTACTATATTTCTTTTAGAATATAATTAATGAATTCTATCATTTTTTGTTTTACATTATTTCTCTCTACTTACATCATATTTAGACATTACTGTAAAGGAATATTAATCTATTCATTATGATTATAGTATTTATAAATAATTAAAAGTATTATATATATAATTAATGTCAAAAATGAAGATCTGTCAATTCCCATAGTTATACACATTTTGATTTATCATCCCATGTTATCAAATACTTTCCATCTTCACTCATTGAACCAAATATTTTAGATGTATCAAAGTCTATTTATGATATTATAATAAACTCATTTTTTGATGTTATTTTAATTATATTTACAAACTAAGTATTTTTATTGATCAGTATTTATCTTTCTTTACAAAATTACATTTAGAATCCAAAATTGCATTTATTACTTACCTTTAATATTTTAATTTCTTTTGATTACTAAAATTATTTAGTAGAATAATTGAATTCAAATAATTAAATTTGATTTTTTAGATATTATTAAAATACAAATTGATTGTCATTTATAAAACATAATCTCTCTCCATTTGTTTTTATATTTATTTTTTATATTTTATTCCATTTTAAATCAAGAGGATCTTATTATAAAATAATAATTTATTTTTCAAGTCCACAAACTATTAATTTATTCTAAGATTCATGTAAACTCATACATCTTATACTTGTAGTATTTTATAAAATATTCTAACAATATTTATATTATTATTTTTTATCAATAACAATTATAGAAGTACTGCATGAATAAATTTGATCTTCATCTTTATTCATAATAATATTTGAAATCTTACTATTATGTTTCTAAAGTTTCATTAAATACTTAGAATGATATAATCCTGTATGATGCCATATTTTAATTTCTCCATCAATATTACCTGACAAGATTGAATTAGAACATTTAATCTAGCATAATGAAAATATAATATCATTTTATATAACTTAGCCTAAAAATTTTAATTACCCATTTTTTAATGAATAAATTATAAATTTTTCTAATCCTGCTGCTATTATAAGTTAATTAATCGTAAATATTAAAGTATACAGAGATTCTCTGATGTAATGTTATGATTATGGTATATGACTATTTAATTGTTTACTAATATTCATTAATTAAAATTAATATAATATAATTACTAATTGGTTTATATATTGATAATTTAATGATCATAATACATTCATTCTCCTAATCTGAAACAATTATGAATTTACTTAATGTAATTTTATAATGGATTAGAAATCTTAAGGATATTTTTTATATATTTTCAACCTAAACTTTATTTTATAAGAGTATCCTAACTTATCCAAATTAATTTTGTAAATAAGAATCAAATAATTTTTATACTTCAATACAAAGATATGATCTTATTCATTAAAAGAATTAAATTAAATTTCAAAGTCTTTATAAATTAAGTATAAAATAGTATTATATATATATTTATTGTTATTTTCACAATGAATAAGTGAGTATTACTAATTAATATAGATTTAGATATTGAAAATATAATATAATATAAATAATAATATATATATAATATTTGAAATGTAAGAGTGGCCTAAGAAATTATTTTTAGCAATAGCATTCATTTCATGTTTCACTTGCTATGCTAGACCAGATTATAATTTACCTCTTTTTGCATTTGCATATTTATTATGGGATATCGATAGACCTGTATAAATATTTATGAAATAATATAGGTTTCATAAAAGATTAGATTGATATACTTATTTGTATATTCTTGGATTATTGATTTTGTTTGGTTAGTTTATTGGGGTCCATTTTGGAATTCATCAACTTTTTCACATAATTGGGCAGATGGAATACAAACATTTGTGTTAGTATTGTCTGTTATTAACTTTATTATTAAAGTAGGATATTGTTTCAATTATTAGTTAGGTACAATAGTAGTATGCATTTTGGCAGAGAAAGAATGTAAAGATGCATTACATCCAGAAAATGCAATGGCACATGCAAAGAATATTTTTAATAGTGAGGGTTAGCATTAATGAATTACTTAATATAGAAAATTTTGAAAAAAATTAATATCTATTTTAAAATTAATGTCACAATAAGTTCTCTGGGAAGTGGTTAAAGGAAACAATGCCTTTTTGGTTAAGAGAAATGGATTGACATTGTCAACAGACCCATTCAATAACACAGGTGTATAGACATATAGCAGTACAGGTAATTGGGTCGATGTAATTAATTTAAAGGATTCATCAGTAAGAATGCAGTTGGTGTTGTTTCAACCTCAGGAAAAGTGAATTAGATTAATAATATTAATTTGGTCACAAAGAAGAGCACAAAATTCTAATAAGCTGATAGAAAAACTAAAAACACTTAATCAGTTTATGCCTCAACCTTGGCTGTTAAACATGGAGTTCACACTGCTTCCAGAGTAATAAATTTATTAATATTCTTAGGTTATCAGAAAGAGATTTGGTACTTCAAGAGTTGGATTACAAAGAGCAGCTCTTAGAAAGTTGGTAAAGTTAAACAGAGCAAATGCAGTCAGAAGAAGAAATGAATTGGCTGCTGCTAAAGCTTAAAAGAAATGATTTGCATAATTATCAAAATGATGTACAATATATCAAGAAATAAATCATTATTATTATATTCTTCTTTTCCTGATTCTATTTGTAATATTTACTAATATGATACTCTAAAACATCATAAAACATTAAAATCTTCAAATATATATATATATAAGATTTCATTTAAATAAATATGAAATCATAAAGCCATGCTCCAAAGCCAGACTTTTCTTCATTGGAATAACAAGCTCCATCATTACCAGATGATGGTATATCTCATGATAGCAAATTATCCTTAGATTTTGTATATGAAATAACTCTAAAGGTTCGTTATGATAAATTTGGAAATCTAATTGATAAAAAGAAAAGACATTAATAAGTATCCTTTAGAGATAGAATAGAAAAGACATAAAAATTATATGATTTAATTATATTTGATCGATTTAAATATGAATTAGTATAGAAACAGAATTAAAAATAAAGAGAAACCTAAAATTTATGTTGCTAAATTTAATGAAATTTCATAATTATCTATTTTGTTTGTAAATATGTACTATACTTTTAAAATATCATTATTTTTATTATTCTTCATGATGTTCTTTGGCTTATTTCTTTTCAAGAGCAGTCAAATACAAACCATTATCATCTGGAAGTGAAATTAAAGGTTTCTTTCCTTTACCAATAGTGAAGATATTGTTAATTCTTGTTGAAAAGTGTTTTCCATTTGAATCCTAATAAATATTTACATTTATATCAATACTTTGACATGAACAATATCAAATGATCCAAGATGTCTTTCTCTATGTTAAATGAGACCAACTCTTCCAATATTGTTTCCTCCAATAATATAGCATACATTTCCTAATATAATTAATTGCATTCAATTACCTGGTTCTTCCTTAATAAAATCAACAACCTTTCCTGTTTCTAAATCTATTTTAAGAGTGTCATTAACATGAATTTCTGGATTTGGATATCTAATTGTTCTGGCATCATTTGTAACAATGTATGGAACATTATTTGGTCCAACCTTCTTTTAAGTTACTTTAACAAGCTTGAATTTAGCTTCATCTGGTTTAATGGATTTTAAAATGAATTTTCCTGAAACATCATACAATACTCTAAAACTCTCTCTTGTCTTGTCAATTGTAATGACATCTGATTACAAATTATAAATTAATTAATACCCATTAATCCAACTGGATATCCAAAGTCAGATCTTACTTTTCCATCAACTTTAATATTGCCATCCTTATCAGCAAGAATCATTTAGACATCTCTAGCATAAAGAGCATATTTCAATTTATGTTGCAATATAATAGACAATGGAATTGATTCTCTCAATTTATGAGGTCCTTATGAGGGTCTTGTTGTCCAATTTCCTCCTAATTTTGAAAGCATCCAACTTTTTGGTGCTGTAATTCTTTTCATATGTTTCTTAGGTCCTCTAGCCTAGATATATAGAACTCATTATCTTACCATGATTGTTTAAAGAAAAAATTAAAATCTTTTTTAATTTAATTCAAAATGTATATATTCATGAGATCCCTAATATCGAAAAATGTTAAGAATTTTTTACAATATTAATTTAAACAATTCATAACATGAATAGAGACTATATGTTATTGTAATTAATATTACTTAAATAATACTATATATAATATCATAATGAATCTTCATCTTCATCCTACTATTCATCATTATCTCTAACATTAAATATTCTAACAGATTATTTATAAGCTTATTTTAATAAAACATAAACTCCATCTTCTTAAGTTTTCAAATAATCAACCAAATATCTTACACTTTACCATATTTCATAAGATTTAAAATTAATAATAGCAGCCAAATCTCTTTAAGTAAATGTTTCCACTAATAATAGAGAATGTTTATCTTAATCTTTTTAATTTTATCTAGCCAAATAACCAACTTTTATTTCTTCACATTCTAATAATTATGCTTAACATAACCATTTAGCAATATTATTTGTATTATATACTTAAGCAGTACTAATTTATTTATATAAAATAATTACTTTGTTGTAATACCAGCTTAAGATAATAATGATTTCTTCCAATCAGGAGGTGTTTCACATTCATTTAATGATTTTACTAAAACAGGTTATCCATCATTATTTTCAGCTTCAACTGTAGTTCTAACAACAACTTTAAATCTTTCTTATCCAGCTCTTACTTCTTCTCCTTTAACAGCTTTCTCTATTCTATCTTTTACTGAAACTTCTAAATATTTGAAACAAAGATCTTCAGAAAATAGATATTTTTCAGCTTAATCATTTTATTCTGTCTCTTCATCATTTTATAATGAATTTTAAAATAAAACTGGTTAATTATATGTACTTAACAATTACCAACTCAATTAAGCTATTGTACTTTCTTCACAATAATTTCTTACTGTTTTTTCATCCTCAGGCATATCAACTGTTATATTTTCATTTATTGTTTGTAATTCTAAATATGTTAATTCACTTCTATTTTAAGGACATTTATCAAAAATATAAGAATTACCTTTCTTAGTTACTAAAATATCCCAAGGATAAATTGAATACTTGAGTGTTTATACTGCAAATAACAATTTATCAGTTGTATAGATTGTTGGAATTTCTTCTGTTCCTTATCTTTCTGCAATTAGTTATTTAAAATATTTATCATCTTATACAGATCCTGATATAACTTCTCCTCCTATAATAGATATCTTTTTCTCATAATTTGGTCTAACTTTATCAAATTCTTTGTTATATTTTTTTATTGTTCCTATACTTTAGATCTCTTTAATATCAATCATTGAATATTAAACTTTTTCAATATTTTACTTTTATGTTTCATGAATACTAATCCAATCAGTTTTAATAGATATTGAATCCTTGAATCTGCATTTCTTATAAACCATAACTCTTTTTGCAGCTTATGACATTTTACTCTTCTTTCCAGTTTAATAATATGATTGATAAACAACTTATTATTATTATTAAGGGACAAAGCCTATCTTTTTTTGAACAGGTTTTTTGACTACTTTCTATCCTACTGTTTCATATTCATCTTCCAAATCTTTTTATACTTGAGTTTATTTTGAGAAATCACAACATCTACTTATTCTTTCTTATCTGCTAAATGGTTAGAATAATCTATCCTTAAACTCTTCAAATTAATAATTTGGATCTGGACAGAAATCAGATAAAGGAGCATAATTCTTTATGAGATTTTACAAATTAGAATCCATAAATTAAATATTTTATCTAATTTAAATAATTATACAAATTATCCAATCATTGATTAATACTATTGATTAGATCTTACAAAGCTGTGGCAATTTATGCTATTTACAAGGAAATTGATCTAAATAATACAATAAATTATATACTCATAAAATTATAAACCATAATCTAAATTTTGAAAGGCTTCTGTAATTTAGTTTAATGAATTTTCAAATTCTGCTTCATCTTGATTTGCTATAGCCATAAATAACTTTTGTTCTGTCAATTATTTTGAAGATTCTTCTAATTAAATTAAATTAATTGATTAGAACTATCATAATTAAATGCATATTACTATTGCATCATAATCATTAATCTTTTAGGTTATTACTTTCATAACCTATTATTAAATAAATTAATCTAATCCAGTGTTAATACTTTTATCTAATCTCAAATCATCAATATATTTTTCTAAACTTGCTAATTATTGTTTTATAAGTTCCAATTTATTATTAATTATTTCAATAGATAAAGATAAATTTCTCAAATTTTATATATTCTTTTTATAAAACTTTTATGATTCCTATAAAGAAGTTTGTATTTTGCTACTAATCATTTAATTATTATTTTATTCAACAAATAATAATTAATCTCTCACATTTGAAACTTAATCCTCATTATTTTTATTAATATAACTTGCCTCAAGTAATCTCTTTTAAACATCTATATAATTTATATATTTATTTAATACCATCAAGCACTCTTTTAAAAACTTCAACTTATTATTAACTTAATTATTTCTTTCCCTATTCCTATTATTCTACATTACCTTCAATTTAAGATTATTAATCAATTAAAGTTTTAATTTTTATTAATTATCTTCCTTATTCTTATTAAAGTTAATGAATTTTATTAATCTATTATTGATACCCTTTCCAACCTCCTCTTTCCTTAATGAAGTCTACTTTTATTTATATTGAAGGAGTTAATTTCAATTATTCAGCATTTTAAAATGCATCTAACATAAATTATAGATTATATTAATTGAATATGGTTGTATATTTATTTTAGAATTCTACTAATTTTTGATTTGCCTACATCTTCTTTTAATTTATATCATCAATTAACTTTTATACTACAAGTTTCTTCTCATCTGCTTGTTTTTGTTTTTATTCATTATTCTAATCAAATAATTCAGGTGCCTTTGCCTTAATCATATCTTATTTCAAAGTTAAAGGTAACAATTCATATTCTTTTGCAATAGGATTCTTATTTATCTTATCATTCAAATAGATATACTCTTTCTTTAAAATTGCAATTTAAGATCTTAAATATAATATATAAATTGAATTACTATTATGTAACTAGAAATTCATTTTTTTATTTAAATTTTTTGAAAATTGCTACTATAGCTTATTCAGCTTTATTAATATAAGCTATTGCTTTTCCCATTCTTTATTCTTTTGGAAATTCTTTAGCTGTTTCTTACATTAATCTTCCCAATTCAATATATAATATAACTTCTGATACTGTGCTATCATTAGTTAACTTTTCTAATAATTAATTATAAATCAATGGTGGAATCTATTTTTTATTACATTACTTTGATTATATTAAATATCTTATAGCAGCATCATATAATTTATTAGCTTCCTACAAAAAAGTTAAACTATCTAATTATTCTTAATTTCCTTTTTATGTTTTAAAATGATCATATAACTTTTTATATCCAAATGCTTATGCCTAAATGTGGAATATTTAATTATTACATAAGTATTCAACATACAAATATGTACAATTGAGAGATCTGAATGTTGTTAAGCAATTTTAGAATTTATAAATGGTAATACTTCTTAAAGTTTTTAATAACACCAAAGCTAGTTTCGACATTTTGTTAAAGAATCTTTAATATGTTATGCATTTTGGGATTGGTGATAATAAATAATGCCTAAATTGTATAATTGACATGCATATTCATAATGCCATTAATTTGATTATGTAAATTTATTCTAAAAATATATCTATCTAACTTACAGGCTCATATGAATCATTCCAAAAGAAGGTAATTTCTTCTTGGATAGGCTATTTCAAAATTTCATCCAAATGAATCAAATATTCAAGCAATTATTTCTCCATTTATGAACAGGCATCAAGATTTCCTTTTAAACAATCTTATTGTTAAAAATTTAACAATTTTTTACGACCCTCCTCTATACTGACCAGAGTTTGATTCTATTTTTACTTATTTTTAATACATTTGATTTGGGGAATTTAATTACCTTAGTTTATTTGAAACGAAACCCAAAGTTCATGTGAATTAATTATATTATTTATATTTTTATGATGAAGGTTTGATTTAAGATAGAATTAAATATTCTAAATATTTAATTTAATGAAATAAAATAGAGTTTCTATATTGACCAAATAAAACATAAGATATGAAGGATCTGTTTATGCAATTGATAAAATTCGTAAAACAGTATTTCTTAATGATGTGAGATGTATGGGAACTGAAAATAGAGAAGCATCAATTTTTATTCCACCATCAACAAAAATAACTTAAGTGGCAGAGTTTACTAATGAATAGATTTTAGAAATCAAAAAATTAGTATTGCTTTTTGTCTATTTGCAAGAGCAATAATGATTTTCCAGAGCATTTACCTAATACTTACAAAGAACATACTCAAAGTTCTCAAAATTAAAAATTGACATCAAAAATTCTAAATCAAAGTTGCACTTATGAAGTAACCAGATCACCTTTGCCAAAAATAACAACTAAAAAAAATAGACACTTTCTATCACAAAGTCCAGATCCTAGGAAATTCGATTAGAAACCTGTTTATATTACAAATAATTATTTACAATTGAAAAAAATGGAATAATTCAAAAAAATGCTTATGTTTAGATATAACAGATGAAGTTGTATATTTTTAATTCATGTAATATTTTTGAAATTCTCAGAATAATACATTATTTTTATTATCTAATGGGAAATTGCCAATGTTAATCAGCTGACATCTAAAAGACAGAGGAAATGTAGCCTCTTGAATTCAAATAAGAGAACTTTAAAAGTTCTGAGGATTAACAATTGTAATTTTGCCAGGCTCAACAAATATTATAATAAGAGTCAATAAAGTCCAATAATGAAACATCTGATGATACTCATCGACCTAATCCATAATTAGTGTGGTAAACACAGACATAGTTCACTACTTATAATCTAATAGTTCAGGTAATCTTGTCTAAAAATACTATCTAAGAAAGTTATGGATGAATTGGGCATATATGAAATAGATGATGAGGATGGCTATTTTTATGGAGTCTATGAATAAAAAGATGGTTCACTATATAGAGGTGGTTGGCATCAAGGCCAAAAATTTGGATATGGTACTTCAACAAAATTCCTATCTCTTTAGGATGCTTAATCTATCAAGATGGGTCAATATTTTAAGGGCTATGGAGAAAAGATAAGGCTAATGGTAAAGGACGAATGATATATACTGATGGAGACTGGTATGAAGGTGATTGGGTTGATGATTTAAGTTATATTACTGTTATTTTTTAGAACATGGCAATGGAAAATATGTACATTGTGACGGAACCATCTATAAAGGAGAATGGAAAAATGATTTATAGGATGGTTATGGATAAGAATACTTTATTGATGGATCTAAATATAATGGATAGTTTAAAAATGGAAAAAAGAATGGATTTGGCCATTTTATTTGGGTTGATGGATAAAGTTATGAAGGAAATTTTGAATCTAATTACTTTTGTGGTTATGGGTATTAATTTTAGTATTATAAATTAGAAAATATGTATGGATTGATGGTAGATAATATGAAGGTTAATGGTTAAATGGAAGTATGGATGGAAATGGTATAATGAAATGGCCAGATGGAAGAAAATATGAAGGATAATACTTTAATGATAAAAAACATGGATAAGGAGTATTAGAATGGCGTAATTTGTGTATATTTAATGTAAGGTAGCTGATGGTAGGAAATATTCAGGATAATGGGAATTGGGAAAATAACATGGTATTGGAGAATATTTTAATGGTTAAATTAATAAAAAAGGTTAATGGAATTATGGAAAGCGACTTAAATGGTTAGATTGAAATTATATAGATATATAATAACCTTTATTTGTCTAAAGTATGTTTAAATAGATGAAATAAGATTTCTAATCTCCTTATTTCATTTATATTTCTTTCTATAAACCATTTATGCACCCTTAATACATAAATAAAATATATTTTATTATCTGCTTATTTAGAGATAGTAGGATATAAAAATGTGTTAAATTTATATAAATTACTAAAATTATAATTTTATCCTTATAATTATTTTCATCCTTTGAAATTTCCTCTAATTTTAAATTAATTGCTTACATCCTATATCTATTTTTTAATAGTTTTGAAACTATATTGTTATTCTAATTAAATTTCATGATATATTGATTACTTAATGATAATCTCAAAAAGTGTATTATTTTGAGAAATTTTTGGAAAAGTAATCTACTCAAGGAAGGATATATTTCCCAAAGAGTTAATATAATTATATTAATTAATTAATACTTTTGAATTTGTAAAGGATATATTTGAGATTCTTAAAAATATTTTGAATTATATAATAAAAAATAAAGTTTTAAATAGAAAAGAGATTTTTAAGAAAAGTAAACTATGATTTAAGGAAAAAAGTTACAAAATTAAAAAGATGAAAAATCAACTATTAGTCACCAATAAAAGTCCATATAACACTTAATCAATCAAAATTGAATTGAGACCATAAGTCATATTATCAAGTATAAAACATGTAAATCCTTTTTGATGATAATCTTAATTCATGATGTTTAATTAATTAATTAAAAGTCTATATAGTCTTTCTCATCAATTGGTTTGTTTCAAAAAACAAAAATCATAAACCATTCTAAATAATAATAACATCTTGATTTATTTATAATATTTCCACTTATTGCTATTTCAACTTCTTATTATTTATTTAAAAATAATACCTATTAGTATTTAAAATAAGAAACCTTAATAATAAGTGAAAAATATTAAGAATTTTCCTATTAAATATACAATATTAATAGATGGAATCTAAGAGAGACCATCCTTAAAATTTCTATAGAATTAGCTAAATATGAAAGGATAATTCAGTTAGATGTAAGATTCACATAAATTAAAGTTTGACTACAACATCTAATTGTAACCATGTTTTCATTACCTCGATAGATATAATTCATAATACTAACTAAACCATCAATGTAAATATTTTATCTCAAGAATCAGAACATATTTAGCATTTAATGATATGATCAGGAAAGGATAAAATTCATTAAATGTTTTATCCTTATTGTAAACCAGAATTAACAAATTTAGATTTGATAAAGAGGTTATCTTAAAACCATAACAAAGTTAAATTCTAGAAGAGCAGAAGAATAGTGATACTCATATCTATTTTATAATATTTTTTATTTAATGGACAAACTTGATAAAATAATTGCTTAATTAGATGAATTAGAAATTAGTCAAAAACATAGAGAAGATTTGATTAAGCGCAATCAAAGTACTTAAATACTAAAGTTACCAAAAGTATAATCAATTGATTAATATAGGTGATATTAATTCAAAGAATTTGTGGATTTTTGGATGACTAAGATCTATATAGATTTACAGCTACTTGTTCATCAATGAGAAAGATAATGTTTTGTCCTTTAGGATTTAAGTTATTGACTTTAAGTCGAAATGCATAACATATAGTTGGAGGAAACAAATAGCAATAACAATAACTTAAAAAAGAAAAATAAGAGATTATTTCAAGTGGAAATATATCTGGAAATAATAGTATATTTGATTCAGAAGAAGATGCATTGGCTCAATTATAAGCATTAAAATCTGTAAAAGAATTTTTAACTACTAAACTTCAATCATCTTAAGCATAAATATAAAATTTAGAGGATTTGATAACTGATTCCTCTGACACATTAAAATATGAGAAATCAGTTAATTTGAAATTGCAATCTAAAATTAATATATTACAAAACTAACTCTCTATTTCTGAATTACAAAGACAAGATGTAAAAGAAAATTTATCTGAATTAAATTCTAAATACAATAAGATAGTAATTCTTATTTCAAACTTTAGATTAGCTAAATGGAATAGGATAGAGTAGCACTCTAAGATGAGAAAGATAAATTATTAGGTCACAAGAAAGTACTTGTTCAAGAAGTCTATAGATTGAGAGGATAGGTTTCATAAATGGAAGAGGATCAAAATAATTATCAATCAGCTCTAAAATAAGTTAAATCTTTTATGGATACAATTGAATTGAAACCCATTTGATTAAGTTATCTATTAATATGATTCTAAATAAATTTCATTTAATTTTTTCTAAATTTCTACATAAAGTTGTAATTAATTATATACTCATTGAATACTATTATTAATAATATTAGATTTAAGCAAATTATACATTAAAAGAATATTAATTAATTATGGAGTACGAATTACCATCATTATCAGAACCTTTTACTTGGATCTCATATGCTATTCTGGGATCATTAGTTGGGTTGGCATAAGCAGGAGGAATCGGAGGAGGTCCTATTGTTTCACCTGTTATGATGGTTTTATTGGGATGTTCAAGTAAACAAGCTATCTGGAATACATATATAATGTTATTTGGAGGGAGCATAGGTAATTATGCAAGGTTAGGAAGAGAAAGAGTAATTATCAATTTAATATGGTAATTAGATTTCAGGTGGGAATAGTCCATTAATTAATTATTAATTAGTATAGATAACACTTCCATTACTTTTAGCAGGAGCCATATTAGGAGTTGCAACTGGGAAATGGTTACCAAAAATAGTTGTGGTGTTATTTTTATTTGCCATTTTATTAAATGTATTTCTGAAGACAAAGAATGTATACAAAAAAATTAGGGAAAAAGAAAAAAATGAAAATCTTTTATAAGTTGAAATGAAAGAATTTATGTTAACTGATTACAGTATGGTGCCTTAAGATCTATAATAGATTATGGAGAATGAATCAAAGCTATATCCTATTGAAAATCTAAAAGAGATAGCCTTCTCAGTGATTTTAGTAGTAGCATTGACTTTACTAAAAGGAGCTGCAACAATTCCTTCTATATTAGGTATAGACTATTGTGGATACGGATTTCATGCAATCAACTTTATCATATTTGCTATAGGATATTATAATGTTTAAAGATATAGATAATAGATAAAGAAAGATGAGGAATTTAAAGAAGCAGTGGGATATGATTTTTCTGGAGGGAAAATAAGTGATGTATTTGAAATTACTGTGAAATCAAGTATGAAAGCCGGCTTTTTAGGCGGGTTAGTTGGTTTAGGAGGAGGTGTAGTATTAACACCTATTTGGCTTGAAACAGGAATCCATCCTCCAAGGGCTGCTGCATCTGCTACTTTTACTGTAATGTTTACTTCATTTATATCTGTATTTATAATTGCTTTGTCAGGAGGTTATCATTTATCTCAATTTTTAATCTTGGCCGTAATAAATTAATAAAAATTATTAGAGTGTATCTGGATGTGGTAGTTATTTGATAGCAGGAATCTTAAAAAAATTAGTTAAGAAATATAAAAGAGAATCAATTATTATTTAGGTATTACTAATTGTAATAGCCTTTGGATTGATTGTTTTACCTCTGTAATCAATAAAAGATGTATATTAAAATCCATCTTCATCTATATAATTTGGTCGTTTGTGTTGAGAATATTTATGTAAACAAAATTATTATAAAAAATCTTTATAAATAAATATAATAAAGTCACATTCTAATAGTGGAATCATACATTCTTCTTTAGTCTATTTGTTATTTTAGATGAACATTTTCTTCAGTTAATACATTAATTTATGTATTATAAGCTGCTTTTAAATTACTTATTTAATATGAATTTGAAGCTTCCAATTTATTTTTTAAATCTTCCAATTATGTAAACTAAAAATATATTTGTATAATTTACCTTCTCTTTTTCTAAAGCTAACTATCTCTATTTAAATTATTCTATTTCATCTCTTGCTCTCCTTAAATCTTTGTCTAATAGATTTTTTTGATTTGCTAAATTTTCATTATCTTATTCTTTGACTGAGAGTGCTTCTCTTAATCTTTTAATTTCTAACAATTATTATTCTTAAGAGATATCACTTTATCTTAGTTTATCTCTATATTAAATTGTTACTCTATCATTCTTTGATTAAAGATCTTGAATTTCTTAATTTTTAGAACTTGTTATTGACAATATTTCTTATTTTAAAGAATGAATTTCATCTTTCAATCTTCTAATATCATCTTCTAATTATCTTTTATGTAAATTGAATTAAGCTATTAATGATTCTTAATCTTTTGTTTTTTATGATAACATTTCTTTAAGTCTTTCAATTTCACCTTCCAAAAAGAGTATTTGTAATTTCTATTAATCAATATTCTCATTAAGAAGAGCTGTTGATTTTTAAAATTAATCATCTAATTCATTAATTTCATTATTCTTTTATTTTTCTTATTCAAATGTAATTAATTTTTGATTTTCAATTTCTCTTCTTAAATCAATAATTAATTATTCAAGTTATTATCTTTGTATATTCTTTTCTTCAATTTAAATTTATATTTATTAATTTTTATGTTCAATAATTCCTTTCAAATCATTAATTTCTTTTTCTAAATTACTAATTTATGTTTAATAATATGATTTTAATGTATCTTAATCTCTTTAATGTTAATTTTATTAATCTTTAAGAGATGTCTCAAGAATCATTCTTGCTTATCTCTCTTAATCTAATAATTTCTACTTTAAAATTTAGATTTCAGTTCTCAAATCATTAATTTAATCTTCAAACATTTATTTATTTTTAACATTTTATCCAAGTAATGTTTCTATTTCAGCATTCTTAATTTCAAGTAATCCCTTAAGTTTATCAATTTCACATTATTAAACATCTGATTATCTAGCAAATTCATGTTTCAATAATTAAATCTATTATTATGAAAAATTGTTTAAATTATCATTCATATGTTCTAATTCTCTTTATTTTTCTGATTCTTATTATTAAATTTTAACTCTAAGTAATTCATTTT